ATCATTCTAAAGCCCAGAAATTGAAAGGATGAGAGTTGTTGACACATGCGATCTTCTCATTTCTTCCAGGAGAGAGGCCGAGCAGTCTTTTTAAAATGGGGTTCTCTTTGAAGAACAGAAGACAAAAATGAAATCTCACAGGAGAGCAGTCTTGTGCTACTGATAGAGACTGACTTTCAAGGTACAGGGATGGCGCAGTCTCTCTGAGAATGGTCTAAAAACTACCTTCAAGGGCCACCTGCAGTGGTCTGTTCCAAAGTCATACATATCTCTGGGACCACCCCACCCTGCTGAAATCAACTTCTGAGGATGGGACCCAGAAAAGTGAATTTTGAACCAGTACTTCAGGTTGTTCTAATACAGAGTGAAATTGGAGAACCATTTGGAAAGGCCTGAATGTGTATGTTCACACACACAGAAGGGACAATATTCAGCAAAACCTGCCTGTAATGGGCCTCCATTTTAAGAAGAGTAACTTACAACTTTGAAAAAAAACTATATGCATGCAACTATCAAGCTCTTTTTCTGTGGTTCTGTGAATTTGACAATCTCGAAAGTATCTTAATCCCTAGGGGAGGGATAAAGCTTCTGTTTTTTTCCCAGTATGATGGGGCTGATGCTCAATGTCTTCAGAGAAGACCTATACTCATAACTAATCTAGCTATACTTTGCCCAGAAACTCATCCTGTATCTGAGCACACAAAGTGGACTGGCTGTATTAATTAATATGTCCACCTGCCTACTGGGTTTTAGAAAGAATCCAAAATATTAAGGCTTAAGACAGAAGCTTAAACTTGGACATCTCCCCTCACCCCGCTTTCAAACACCTCTTATAGAGGGAATTAAGTATACTATGTGATGACTTCAGAGTCCGAGGACCTAGGGTTAAATTCTGGCTCTACTACTTACTAGCAATGCATTATAAGTTAAGTGAGTTTATTTAATTCCCTGTAGTGTCAGTTTCCTCAATTACAAATGGAAATAAAATCAACACTGTGGGAGGTATTCAAACCCAAGTTCGGAGAGCAAATAGAATTTACTATCCAGAAGTAAAGAATAAATCAGATATAAATTCTACCTAACTGTACTAACTCTACATGAGATCAAATATAAAACAGCTATTCACTTTTCTTGATTAGATTCCAAGGAAGTGAATAATGATATACTAGAAAAATAGAAAATAAAGGTAATCCAAAATGGCTAGCATAGACCTTACAAGACTAGGGTTGCTGGGCAAAAGTGAAAGGTTTGGTAATCAGTGAGCCTCTGAATGGGTGATGTGAAATGTGAGATGTCTTCTGTAAGAAGCAGTTTCTGGAGTACCAACAGCCAATGAGTATCCCCTAAGGGATATTCTGGCCCCTCCTGGCTAACCTGGCCACCCACCAGAATGAATGCTCCTGGGAGGACAGCATTTGGTGTTGCATGCATGCTTTGCATTGAGTGACCGTGGACTAGCCTGTGTATTTGACAAGAAACATGGTTTTCTTTGAATGCTGGCTGTATTTTAGTGTGTTTAGAAGGATGTATTAAACATCCACTAGAGTTTTATTGTAATTAAACTTTCTCAACTGATAGCATGAAGAGGACTTAAAAATCATGACTCAGGTTCTAATAGTTGCTTTACCACAGTTATTTATTCTCTGAAGTCCATTCAGAGATCTGATGGTTAGTCTTTAGCTAACTCTCACTGAGTCAAATTGTATAGTCTACTGGTATCAAGAATCGAATGGCTTCAGTACGTACAGCATGAAGTTAAGAGGGCATAACTGGGAATTATCTTCTATACTGTATTTTAGCTATAAAATCTCTTTCAAATCAAATCCAACACACTAATCTATCCTAAGCCTAAGACTCCATGTAATGAGTCTTTTTTTTTCAATGATTTATTTATTCACGCATACAGAACTGGGGTACAGGCCAGAGGTGCAGGGGTGGTAAGAGGATTCTCCAGAGACAGAACGGGGAGCAGAACAGGCAGACTGATGAACTACACTGCTGAGGGGAGCAGTGGGTGAGACAGGAGAGATCTGTTACGCCATGTGAGTGAGCTCCCTGGCTGGGGATTGAACTTGTGCTGAAGTGACTGTGGTTAGCTTTGGATTGCTATGTTTTAACCCACTGTGCCACCAGGGAGATGGTAGTAAGATTTGCTTTTTTCCAGCATCAAACTCGAAGTGCTCAGGTACTCTAATTGAAGAGTCTATACCACTAATGCCTTGGGCCATACTTATAAATGAATTACCAGTGTCACTATCAAACAGATAATAATATGTGAAAAATCTGACTTCTACAAAGAGATTTTTATTTTATTTTTAAGATACCTGTCATGGGGAATACTAAAATTATCACTATAGAGAGCTTTGTTGGTAATCTTACCATTTTCCTTTTCAGTCTGTTCCTATTTGTGTTTTATAGATTTCATTCATCATTTTTCCTCTTATTGTCCTAAACAGCCTAATTAATTTGTTTGAAACAAACTTCAGTCCCACTGGTATTTTTACTTCTAAGATTTTATAAAACCAATCAATCTTTATACATGTATTGACTTTTTAAGTTATACAGTATTGGCAGACTATTTCATAAATGACTGAGTAAAAAAGACTGAAGACTTAATATTTGTAAAGTATTTGCCAAGTATGTAGTAGACAGCAATAGTAGCATTATGATGCTACCATTCTGTCACTTTTCAGATTATTTAGATTCAAAAGACTTACTGTCTACCAATATCAAGAAACAATAGGTATTCTGTAAGACCTTCAATTAATAGATTCTTCCAAAAATCACTTTAGATTTTCCTATGTAGGTTAATAGACTTTTAACTAGTGAAATTATATATAGTGTGTGAAGGAAAAAATATCAGGGACTTAAGAGAGTTGTACTGAAATTATACTAAATTTTGATTTCCATTTTTTTGCTTTCATTGGCATTTTATTAACTGATAGAAATTTACATTTTGATGTTGGTCACTTCATATTAGTTATAGGAAAACATGAGAATGAATTTTTAGTAGTAGATCCACTGTAATAATAAATTAAGGTCAAAGTCAAGATGGAAAATAAAATGTATATTGATTCACTCAACACCTATTTATGAAACTTTATTCTGTGCAAAGCTCTCAGTGAAGTATAAGTAATAAAAAATATTTAAGATAACCTGTCCTCAAGATGCTTATAGGAAATTATCAGGATAAATCAGGTAAAAATGTTGGCTGGCTACTATGAACAGAATATTCTTATAAGAAAGACAAATCTGATTATATATACATATATATATATCTCAATATATATCTGTATCTGTATCTGGGAAAAAATCAAAATCAAAATATGTCTAAATAAACATTGCAAAGAAACAAGGGGCTACATAATCTTTTTTATTAAGGCTGTTGGTAGCTTATGGGAGAGTAAGACTGTGAAGAAAAAATAAAGCACTTCTGTTTGGAATATATTTTTCAAGATTATTGTATACTATGCACTCCAGATTAAAAATGGTGGGAAAAATTGGAAATGGTGGGATAAATCCTACTTGTAATGATGCATTTCACTACCATATACTATTGTGGTAGCTCTTCTATCATTAAACTGAATGTGGTTATTCACCATTCCTTAATTTCCAAATGCTTTCATAGTGCTAACTAATATACTGCCCTGAAAAAAAAAAAGGAAAAGAATTTCTGGCTACATTTCTGTGTATTGACAAGCTTTAGCATGAAAAAGCATCATTGGCCATGACCTTCGTGCTTCAGAACACCCCGGCCATATGGAGCCTGACTAGAGACCCTTCTTCATTTCAGCAGGTCCTAGTTACATCAGTGTAATTTTTCAAATTCTGTAATCTTGTTTTTAATGTCATTTCAGCTGAATCATTCTTTTCAGAATGGCACAGACTGTGATATCGCTGTAACTTTTCTTACTTAATATAACTCACTGTCACTTCAATGAAGAAGTTCTGTTGGAGAGTGAAAAATTTTCTGTTAATGAGGGCTTATGTCCTTCTGGCCATGAACAAAGGGTGTCTGGTATTTGCTAATCCATTTAAAAACTGTATTATTTTGTAAAGTTAATCGTGGGTTCCCAAGTGTCCTTTAAGTATTACAAAATTCACTTATTCATTTTGCAAGCTAATGGGGCGCAGGAGTAGGGAGGCAGGTCCCTGTGTCTAATCCCAGTCCATATACAACATGGAAATGCAGGTTGTGCAGAACATCCCTAGCACAGATCGTCATGTTAACAAGGACCTTTATGAAGTCTTTATGAAAATAACATTTAAATACTTCTATTATCTAAAATTATACTTACTGGAGTACTAAATAAGGTCACTGCAAGATTCAGAAATAGGTCTAAAATGTGGAACTGGATATAAATGAAGATGTACTTACATGTGCACCTTCATGGTTATTGGAAGGCAGCTGAGTTCAGACACGTTCATAGGCATTAAGAGGGAGACAAGCCAAGGTCTTCTTTGTGACTCCATGAGACCAGAGGGAGCAGATAAGGCCAAGAATGTGTAGGGTTACACAGTGTTTGGCTTCACAGTGGGTTCCCTTCTATTTAAAATATTCTTTTAGAAGCCATGACCTGGTAGAGCAACTTTTGAACTTTGGAGAACTGTTTCACTTTATTTTTTATAAAATGCATTAGAGCTTTCTTCTTTGCCACTAAAAATTTAGTTGAAATCATATTTTGTAATGTTCTTAGAAATTAATGAGGAAAAAATACCTTCATTTTAAAAGTCAATTAAAAGTACTTTGGCTTTGCAGCAGATCAAACTGGCTCTTAAATTATTATTTAGCAAATTAAAACATCACCTTTAAATAACAAATTCCAGCAATATTTGGAGTACTGAGTAACAGAGCTCACAAGCAAAAGCCATGTGATAGGTAACCTGCCAATGGCAAATTAGGTTAGCCTCTAGTGAGTTCACTACAATTTCAAGTGCATCTTTATGAATGAAGGCAAAGCTCAATAAAGAACCCATAGAAGGAAATGATGCAGACCAACCTTTTATTGCACCCACAATATTCTGGTCTAGGCCTTTCCGGTTGTCATTGAGTCCTCTTTTCCTCTTCCCATTGGGTAAGGAGTTAGCCAAAGTCTTGTCATCAAAAAATGCACACACCAGTTTTCTAAACAGAAGGCTTCCTGAGCGAGTGTAGTTTGACAATATAGAGTCCAGCTGAGATTTAGGCATAAACACATCAAAGCCTTCAGCAAGTTGCACTTCTGGCTACCAAAAGAATATAAATATTTCATTAAAAGCAAGATTTGAAGCATTTGACTTTGGACATATGTGCAACAACAACAACAGCAACAACAAAACATCAATAGCTATTGAAATGTCCATATCCTGCAAACAATGCAGTCTCAGCTTTGTATGCCAGTATATGCAAGTTGTAAAACCAATTACTAGTTATAATTCATAAATGAGATGTTATAATTCCAATATTAAGTCTTGTAAAAAGGAAAGGAAAGAAGTACACTGAAAAAGCATTCTGACTGTAGAAATAAACAAGAGAAGGCTGGATAACCACAAAACTGTAATTCTAGAGTTACAGGGGACTTGAGGCTTCTGGCTAATATCTTCATCTTTAAAAAGAAAGGACTTGGACACAGAGATCATAGTAAAAATGACTTAAAAACAACTTTAATGTGCTCAGTGCATTACAGTTCACAGAGCCCACATTAAACAATTAAATTAATTTGCCTAAATACGGGCTCCCCCATACCCCGTGTCCCTTGCTCTTACTATGCCAGTAGTTTTCAGCTATATATTTTTCTCCAAAGGAAAACTATGTAGACTAGCACATAAAATAAATAAAATAAATAAAAACAAGGAGCAGGTGTCCCAGGCTGTTTAGACACTCTTTAACTGTAATTTTGGGAGGAAAAAAAAATCTTAAGTTTTGTTTCAGAGTACCAATGGGAAAGCAATGCATTAGCAGCATGCTTCCCTGTCTGGGACTTCCTGACTGGGATCCTGGAACAACAAGGTCTGTAAGGTGCCTTTCAACTTAGGCTCTACCCTACCACGTTAGAAACGCAGACAATAATATTATATCCTTACCAGTGTGCTAAGGATGTTTGTGACCTGCCTTTTCACCTCCCAACCCAGCTCATATCATTTTCTTTGCAAAGTTTTTCCTAACTCCTTCCTTCTGAAGGAGGTGGCTATGTATTATTATTTCTCATTGCTGTTTCTTTCACATGATTACTAAATGTTTTTCTGTATTGTAATTATTTAGTTGACTGGAGCCATTCCTGATGCTAGGACCTGGCACATAGTAGGCACTCAATAAATTCTTGTAGAGTAAATAAAAGTTCGTTAGTCCTAATCTATGTTACTAGGTTATTTGCTGTTGATTATAACATAAACCTAAAAGCAATTTTAATATGAAGGAATGCAATTGGTAAACTTTCATTAGGAAAAAGGTCAGGAGAAAAAGTCACTTAAGTAGGATGTATTACAAAAGTTTACTCTTTGATTACGTATGTATCACTGTGTATTTATCACCTGGTACTACTTGAGGTTTTTTAACTCATACTAGAAAAGATTTGGAATTAGCTTTCTCTTAGAGAATAGGGATTTCTGTTCTTGTCAAAGCCTGTGCTTCTCAAATGCCTGGCATGCTACTGTGAAGACAGGGGGCAGGGCTTAACTGATTCCAAGGATCAGGGAAGGGTCTGGCCCAGCCCCTCCCAAGTGGGTTTCTTCACCTCATCAACCAGAGAAAGTCATCTCTTTTCTCTGCATGACTGTGCCATTCAGCTACTCTTCTTTGCAAGCTTGGTAAATATCACTATGAAAGCAGTACTACCAGGTTGCATCCTGTTGCTGGTAAAATTTTGCAAAAGAGGATGTTGGGAGCTAGGGCTATACCTTTTGTGGGACTTCAGTCCTGGATTGAGAAATACTGACCCAAGCTAGTCGTGAGGCAGAACTCGTTCTTCATAGTGTTTTCTGTGAACTATAATCTTGGCATTTTTTACACTGCATTTATTTAGCTGGGAGTTTGTATTTCTCATGAGAATATGAACTGTTTTGTGTTCAAAGTGCTAAACAACCCATTATGGCCCACTAGATATTTTTCAGAATCAGCAACACACTGTGTAAGAATTCACTCAAAACGTCCAGTACTGACTTAGAGATCTTTCATCCTACACAGAAGAAGTAGGTGTAAGTCTGGCCCAGACATGCTGTGGGTCAGTCCACCAGCCTTGTTCTGACAATACTTGTACCAACTCAGGGAGGAGACGGCCTGGAGAATACTGACTGACTAAATCCAGAAGCATGTAGTAAGGATCTTCTGTATGTAAGGAGCTTAATGTCGGACTAAGTAGATGCGACATATATACACATATACAAAATAGAACATGATAAATGCTTGGAGGGATATACAGCATTTGGCTGATGAGGGGTGAAGGAGTTTGGGAGGGGAGAGGATATCAGAGCCTTAGAGAGAGGATTTAGGAGACAGAGATGCAGTTGCTGTTTCTGGATTGGCCGTGACTCCTAAAACAAAACATCTGGAGCTATGAGATTCCCTGTGGGATCGCTGTATTTGATTTCTGAGATGCAATTCCAGTACAGAAACTGTCAGTGATTCCTATTTCACTTTCTATTGATAGATACTGTTATTCTGAAGCACTCTTTCCTGATCAGGGAACATGAACTCTTCCTGTTAGGAGGCCTCACAGAGGGGTAAGTAGTGTTATTACTTGGGGCAGAAGCCAGCAAAGAGCAAATGGCCAATCTCTACCCCCTTCCTGCTCTCTGTGTCCTTTCTCTTATGCAGACTTCTTAGCTGCTAATGAATGAATGATAAAGCTATGTCAGCGAGGTCACAAAGAAACAAAGCAATTCCTTAGAAGGAAAAAAAAAAAAAAACAAAGCCTTTATTTTCTAAGATGTGAAGAAAAGATAACAGTGATATATAAGTTTCACTATAAAAACCTTTAATTTCCACCATTTAATAATATAATCAGTTCATTCCTAACATTTAATGATCCACAACTTTGCACATATTTAAAAACAGGTCAAACTCTTCTGAAAATTATCATTTAATATCTTCTTTTTGTTTACATCTCTAGTTTAAATGACAGCTCCCTTGCCAATGATGGCTGTGATAGAAACTACCACTACTCCTGATGACTTGGGTAAGACATGGCTTTCTGGAGGCAAAAACTACAGTGCCCAGACCCGTGGACAATCACTACCTTGTATTTCAGGTGCAGTTTCCCTTTGCTCACAAGTTGTTGGGGTTAGGATCTAGTTTGATAGGGGATTTCCTAACTAGGCAAATGAAAGGCTTCTTTCCTAAATCCCTATGAGCACACCATCAGGTTCTCCTGCATAATGTAAAGAAAAATATAATAAGCAATTTTAAGGAGCTAATCAAATTAGTCACAGAGGGCACAATTCTGATAAAGGCTATTTTATTGAAGGTATTATCAATATCAGCTTATTGTAAGATGTGGGAAAAAAGCTATATACAGTCACTAAGTAGTAAGTGAATATTCATATTGGCCATTAGCCCAATATTTTCCACTGCAAATTAATAAATTATACACAATGGTTTGTCAAATTGATTGGTAAGCTAGTCTAGTTTCACACTAGCTCAAAGTGAAATCTGAAAGAAAACAAAGTGATAAAGAAGCCTATTGTATAAGACTAGCTAGTTTTGGATTATACACATATAACAGAATTAATATGAATATCCAAACACTATGAATTTAGCCTTCCTATTCATAATACTATTATTCCCTTTTAATATTTATTTAACAGTATACTGTACATATTTCTAGGAAAATGAGATTTACTTCATGAGAAGAAATTTAAAGAAAAATAAACAAAGAACCCCCTATAATTAATTTTACTTTTTCTTACCGATGGGGTCTGTTTCTGTTTAAGAAAAAATGAAATTGTTTTCTTTAACTCAGTTGTAATCAGACAGATTTAGCAAGGATTACTGTTATCATTTAATAAGTGCCAACATCATAGTCAATGAGTGGAGTGGCCATGAGAGCTTGTTAAGACTGAAAGGTGGGCCTGTGACAGTGGGTCCAGCTAATGTAGCTGTTAGACAGGAGCTCAAAACAGGTGGGATCTGGGGCTGGTGGCAGAGCTGAGCTCCACAGCACGAATGGGTGGAGGATCCCATGGGATGGAGGTGCTATGTCCAGACTAACAATAAGAGGGCTACTCGTAGTGAAAAACGCTCAGGCCAGTGTTCTAGCAAAGCATGCAGAGTTTAAACACTAGCTTATCGTTAATGTTGGAGTAGGATAAAAATTACAGGAAGTCGTTTAAAAAATCCATTATTGATTTTTTTTATTTGACAAAATTTTGGCGAAACTAAGAAATTAGTATCAGATAATACAACTTGGCTCCTTGAAACTTTATGCACTTGCATAAGGAGACATTCCAGAGTCTTTTACGGATGTTTTTAGCTGTCTCCTTTTTCAGGTGGTAAATTAATGAGTCTGAGGGCTGTGGCTTTATTTATGCTAAAGACATCTGAGCCAAAATGTTCAATACATAAGATTTTAACCAGGGCAATATAGCTTCTTTCATCATAACTACAATGAAATGCTCCTCCAGGAAGATGTTGACCTCTGGAGTCACCTGCATACAGAGCTCCTCCTCTTCCAGGCTCCATCTACTTCCACGCCTAGACTAGAGCTTTCCTCCTACTATACTGTAACTCTTGTTTTTGTGTCTGTCATCTTTGGCTGCTTCTCGAAGGGCAAAGACTATTTCATTCATTTCAATATACCCTGGGAAATAATGACTTAGCATTTATTTGCTGCTTACTATATTACAGGCTCATTACATGTGTTTTCTAATTTAATTCTCACCCTACCTTCGAAGTGGCTGCTATTATTATCCCCAATTTGGCGATGTGAAAACTAAGGCATAGAGAGATTAGGTAACTTGACTAAGATTATCTAGTGATGAAGCAAGAATGTGAATCATGTAGTCTGCACTAGAACCTATGCTCTCAAGCACCTACTGCTTTTAATTTCAATGTGTCAATGAAAAATGAATAACTTGCTTTACTACTGGAGTTCCTAGAGGGTTATTTTATTTATTGGTCTAAGAAAATATTAAGAAAAAACATATTCCAAATTCTGTTAACAGAAATTCCAATCTCTGTTAAGAGTTACAATTAAATTCTAAGAATGATATTTAAAAAAATAAACTTCGTCTTAAGTTGAAGAATAGCCACA